ACACACACACACACACACACACACACTCTTAGGCGCAGGCTCTTATCAGAAGTAAGGCTGCTGAATGACGTTCTCACGGACCTTGAGAAGAATCTATGAATCAGAATCTGCAGTGAGGCTGAATGTGATGATGCTCACAATCACTGGTTTAAACGACACGCATGCCGCAAACCCAACTAACAACATATAAGAACGTTTTGCTAATCTTGCCAATAAGTTATAAAAACATTATTTCTGAGCATTCAAAACGTCCAGTTAAAAAAAAATAAATAATAATAATAATAATATATATATATATTTAATGCAAATGTTCCATTTTATGATTTTGTAAACATTATGGGTGGAAGGTTCAGAATGTTCTGAAACAAGTAGTAACGTTAAAAAAATTAGCGTTTCAATGAACGTACTTGATCTTTGTGATGAAAAACTGCAGTAGAATAAGCAACATTTAAGATGAGTTTAAATACAGAGAAAACAAATTCATTTTAAAGAAATTTTAAACAGAACTGATCACTAGTGTTGTTGTTGAAACATAGTAACTCATATTGATTCTTTTGTGGTCTCTCTTTCTCTCAAAACGGGACTAAACCCAACCTAACCTAAAATAAACATAGCACTACTACTACTAATATTATCAGAGCTGTGTCTAATGAGTATTAAACACTTTACCACGACTATTCTTCACCTGTGTGCTGCTGCCCCCCAGCGGCTCAGAGCGGAACTGCTGAAGCTCACCTCATCATCATCATCATCATCATTATAAATAATAAAATAAAAAGAGCACAGTCAAAAATCTAGGAGCATCTTCTGACCACTTCCCACTCCGAGGCGATATTTGACTCCTTAAAGTGATTTGCAGTTTTTTATAACCTTTGCAATTGCTTTTTCTAATCGTTTTAAATGTCATCCTTTTTGTCAAACTCATAATGTTTCAATTCAAACAATAAATTCAATTAGAATAATAAGACTCAATCAGGAAGAATATGTTACCATTCGGTCTTTGCACTTCAGAGGAGCACAGAAGAACACAAAAGTGGTATTTCGGAATATTTACAGACTCACAGGGGCCATGAATGCACTTAAATTCATAATAACAATGTTATGACACTAATATTAAACTAAAGGTTTAATGTAGAAATAATAAATGATTTAAATAACTGAAATCATACTTTAAAAATGAAACTAAACCCGCCACTAGGTGGCGGCAAATCACTGAGTCATTATTTTAATCGATTCCTTCAAACGCCTGAATCTTTTCATCGATTCCTTCAAACGGCTGAATCATTCTTTTAATCTATTCCTTCAAATGGCTGAATCATTCTTTTAATCGATTCCTTCAAATGGCGGAATCTTTCTTTTAATCGATTCCTTCAAATGGCTGAATCATTCTTTTAATCGATTCCTTCAAACGGCTGAATCATTCTTTTAATCGATTCCTTCAAACGGCTGAATCATTCTTTTAATCGATTCCTTCAAACGGCTGAATCATTCTTTTAATCGATTCCTTCAAACGGCTGAATCATTCTTTTAATCGATTCCTTCAAATGGCTGAATCATTCTTTTAATCGATTCCTTCAAACGGCTGAATCATTCTTTTAATCGATTCCTTCAAACGGCTGAATCTTTCACAAAGTGACTCGGTGCGTTCGAAATCGCGTACTCTCTGAGTAGGTGCAACATTGCATTTGAATTTACTTCACTGCCGTTAAAAAGTAGGTTCTATATAGTATGAATACGGGTAATATGAATGAAATTCGGACGTGCATCTTCATGTTGATTCTGTCACATGACTTCCCGTGGCCTCATGGGATATAAAGTGCTTCAGAATCCGGGCCGAAGAAGTATGTCATCCGGGTACTTTTCGAATACTAAGAATTCGGACATACTACTTGTCTCACATACTGTTTTTTTTCCCGCACACTATGTAGGGAAATATGCGATTTCGGACGCAGCTGTTATGAACGAGTCATTGAATCATCGACTCATTGTTCAAAAACGCAGATTCTTTCATTAAGGAAACACCGCTGTTTGCTTGGAGATTGACTTTGGAAGTATTTTCGTTTACAAGCAAAATCAGACCAAAAATGTTCCTAAAATGCAAGTCACTTAATATTAACTTCTTACTAACTTCTTCTGAGTTCATCACAATATCATAACCCTCTGTTATAATAAATGAAGCTCTGCACAATTAATCCATAGCTATATATACAGAGCTGGGTATAGGTTACTAGAAAACTGTAGTCCAAATTACATGACAAAAATTGTAGTTAGTAACAAAATCCATTACATTACACATTTTAGGTATAAATAATTAGGTGAAAGAGATTCAAATGCATTACATGTAATTAAGAAATAACGTGAATCAGTTGATGCAATGTTGAGAAAACACTTCTTAAAATGTAAACGAAGACTCTCTGAACGTGGAGGAATTAGGGAGAATCACTAAATTATGATTAATTTATTGCTATTGTGTGCTATTGTTAATTACAAGTATGCAATCATGTACATATGTATATATGATTATACATGCAATATGGTAAGAAATCATCCACATTTCCCAGAGAGCAATTAAACCACAACTACACGTGTTAAACACGACTGATTTTAATAGCATTTCCATTCATCAGAGACAGAATATAAAAAAATAAAATCATAACCAGAACAAAGAGAGGTTATAACACACGAAGACACACGTGAAGCAGTGAGATACACAAATACAGATGCATCATGCCACATTTACCGCGCTAAATCACCTCGGCATCTTCACTTAGATGCACGACATCCACCAGGACGTGATTTAGCACCGATATTAGCTGGTTCTGATTCACTGAGTCACTTAGAAATGAACTCATGGCTCTTTCTCCGGTCATGTGTTGTTCCGTTCCCTGATAGCGCACATACATCACGTCTATTTAACGTCTGCATTACATCTGCAAGACGTGTTTTGCTCATCTGCAATACATCTATAGGACGTCTCCTATCAGATGTCAAATAGACGTTTAGAAGATGTCTTTATGATTTAGAATGCATGTGAAACTGACGTCTGTCAGATGTTTGTGCACAGCAGATCTTTAACAGACGTCTTGCAGACGTACCTGTGCAATCTGGGATAGTCTCTCATTTATACAAACTCAGATTATTGATTTCAGCTCCTCGGACGTAAATGAAAACACCCAGTTCATGCAAGCGTTCCTGACGACAACAACACCGAGCCAAAGATTCACACGGCGGTCTGAAAACGCGAATCAAAAGTATCATATAAAAGACTCACCATCACAAAATCTCGAATACGTTTGATTAATAGTTTGTCGGAGGCACAGAACATGATCAGAAGAACCTCAAACACGAGCGGAAGGAATCAAGACACACGAAGCGTTTGAATCACGTGAATCGTTTGCGTTATGGCTTCGCTGCACGTGATTCAGTGCGACTCATTCAAACGGAAAGCGAACGGAACGTCAGAAAAACTGCGAATCGATCTTCACAGAACACTTCAAGAGTTTGGTCCATTTCAGAAAGCCGAATGCAAACGTGAAATTAAACACCGTACTGTACAATATTAATGTGAATATTAATTATGAACAAAATCTCACTGGTTCATTAATAAACTGAACCCTGACAGCATGCGTACATCGCGGAAACGTCGCATTAACATCTGCAAGACGTATTTTTTAGAGCGTTTGCACATCTGTCTATAGAACGTTTCCTATCAGATGTCAAATAGACGTTTAGAAGATGTTTTTAAGATCTAGAATGCATGTGAAACTGACATCTTAAAAGTCTTTATTGCCCCTAGACCTCAGTTATCGTGAAAAAAGCCAGGAAATTTCAGTTTTGACAATATGGGACCTTTAAAGATCGTTTGTGCACAGCAGATGCTTTCCAGATCTTTAACAGACCTCTTGCAGACGTACCTGTGCTATATGTATTATATAGCACAGGTACGTCTGCAAGATGTCTGGAAAGCATCTGCTGTGCACAAACGGCCTCTAAGATGTCAGTTTCACATGCATTCTAAATCATAAAAACATCTTCTAAACATCTATTTGACATCTGATAGGAAACGTTCTATAAACAGATGAGCAAACGCTCTAAAAAATACGTCTTGCAGATGTAAATGCGACGTCTCTGTGATGCACGCGTGCTGTCAGGGTGATAATTCCAGGATGTTCTTCTCTCCTGCATTGCTTTAAATGAAATTAAGCTGCACGTCTTTGGATTGCTCCAGACGCCAGAGATACTGTAGAAGAACCGACAGAAGCTCAAGTAGATCGTGGTGCTTCGTAAAGGGAAGATTGATGGCAGGTGGAAGACGGAGCTCTATTCCTAGACGGGAATATTGCTGCTCGATACTGGTTTGCATCAGATCTGACAATGGCTTTAGACACGTGGAAGAGAGAGAGAGAGAGAATCTGCAGGAACGCACCAATTCACTCCCATTTGATTCATGACGCACGTCACACACTGAATCACTGAACACAAACGAGAGGCTTTATCACAGCGGCTCTCAACCTTCACTATCCAACACAATATCTGAAGGTGCAGATCCTTCTGCTGTAACGACAAAAATGCTCGTTTTCAGAGTTTTAATTTACAGAAGCTAGGAGTGTCAATATATTAAAATAATTTTTTTAAATAATTAAAAAATCTATATAAATAATTGTATTAAAATTATATTTAAATTATGAAATAAAATAATTATTAAAAAATTTAATAAATAATTCCATAAATTTCAGTAACTGCATGTTCATCATGGTTCAATAATGAATTACATGGTTCTTCCACTTGTTTGTGATAATGTATCAAGGTTTTAAAATAGTTCACAAATGGCAATTTCCACTCAATAATGTATTTTTGTTATTTTTAAACGTGTATTCATTACATAAAAATCCATGAATTATTAAGATTTCATTCATTTCCAAACTTTTAGAATTCCCTCATATATTCAAGTTTTCCAAGACTACGAGAATCATGAAAATAAAAATGATTGTTGTTGAAGAAAAATAAAAAAATTATAAAAATAAGAACGTCAGTTTTCATCTTGAATTTTGGCCTTTATGGTTTTTTATTAGCTTAAAATGGACATATTTTGCAACACTGACACTGTTATTGAACTGAATTGATCTGAATAATGATACTTTTGTGTTCTAAACAGCTGAGTTATTGATGAAGTTTGCATCCAGTTATTTTCCTGTTTTTTTCCATGAAGCTGCATTGTATTGTATAAAGCGCTATAGAAATAAATGTGACTTATTTCAAAGCTTGTTTTAAGTTGAGAGTCGCTGGTTTTTCCATTAAAACAGAACATGAGATATGAAGGATTGATGGCAGCTCACGTGTTTGTCTGACGGCAGATTATTAAAGACGCCACACAACCGAACGAACTGTAACTGATCAAACACACAGACGTGACGCGCCGCCGCCAGACCAGCATGAGTGTGTGTGTGTGAGTGTGTGTGTGTGTGAG